GTTCTCCAAAATCTCTTTTGAAAATATTCTTTTCAAAATCACAATTGAATTCGTTAATATAACAAATATCACAAAGAGTTAGATTGTTTAATCTTACCTTTGCTTTAGATTGCTCCATAAGTTTTTCATTTTCTGCATTTGATACTCGATCAATGCCCAAAAATAAAGTATGTAGACTATTCAGAATGCTTTCATGCATAACCGCAGGGTCTATATTTTGAGTATCCCATTGAAATCTCTTTATAAAATTTTGTACATTTCCAAGCATTCTATGTTCAGCAAGTGCTAACATAAGTTGTGTTGTATTGAAAGTACTAGGACTAAGATTGATCACAAGACTCATTTATAATCCCCATTTATCAATTAATTTCTTAATTGTTTCAAGTTTCTTACAGTCTAAATCTAGGATTGAGGCTGTATGTACTTCTCCAGCAATACCAGGAATACCGGTATTGTTGTTAAATGACCTGGATTGTCTAGAAGTTACTGACGATTTACTTTTAAAGCCATCAGTATTCATATCTTGGTCATTTTTCGTTCTAGATGATTCTGGTTTCTCCATTCTAAAATTTTCTTTTAGAAGTTCTTCCTCATCATTGAAGTTTATTTCTGATTCTGACTGATTGTCAGTTTCAGTTTCTTCTATTTGATAAAACTGATCATTTTTATCAAGTTTTAACAATTTTTCATTTCAGAATTTAATTTTAAATCTGAATTATATTGTTCCTCATTCATTTCTACGAAACGAATTGTATGTTCAAGCTGGATAGCTTGCTTATCATCCAGATCTAGGTTAATTAGATTCCAGAGATTTTTCAATATTTTTTTTAATAATTCATTTTTTCAACGCATCCTTTGGCCATTTAAAAACATTAGGATTTCTTGAACTTCCTAATTCTTCATTTCCTACTAAATATTAGGATATGAGTATTTTAGAAAAGGTATATTCTTTTCTTAATTAGAAATTACTTTCTGTTTTTTATTTTCTTCTTTACAAGGGCATTTAGCAATTTCTTGCTTAATATCGTTGATTATTTTAGCTGCTATCAGTTCTAAATCTTGTTTAGAATCTTTAGACTGTTGTTGAACAGATTGAAATAACTCATCTATCTGTTTTTTCAAGATTTCATATGCCGTTTTATATCTGCTAAGGTATAATTCATTTTATATACTTATAACAAAATAATACTCAACTAAGGGTATAATAGTAATTTTCAACTTTCTTTTCTATTTTAAAAGATTTTTCTTTTGGTTAAATAACATTGGACCAAATTTTAAGTTGAAAGGGTTACTTAAACAATTTGTTGTTCTGACAAGGTCATCTCGACCAATTTCCTCCCAAAATCGGTGGAAGGACGTTGAGAGAGTTTTCAAAAATTTTTGAAAGAAAGTAAATTATGAGATGAGCAAAACGGTCTAAGAGGGCGGATATGTATTAATAGGGGTACAGTGGATAACAATTCCCTCACTGGCCTTTCACACACTCACTCGGTCACTCCAAACCCTTGTGTAATTAATTCACACAAACTCTCGCAATGAATTTACTCGCCAAAGCGAAATTGTCCATTAGAGGTGGCCTTTGCCCCTTTCGATCCATCGCAGTACTTCAACAATGGAGTTTATACTGTACCAAAACAGATTCGTTCAGCCCCATAACCCAACAATCGGCAGAGAATCTCAGAGCCCAGAAGCCCTCTGATTCGAGCCTTCCTCCAATGATGATCAAGGAACCGAAAGGTTTGGCAATAGATCTTCAGTTGCAACCTCGGTATGGCAACACCGTGAATTTGAAAGACCGCGTGAAAACCCCTGCCCGTCTCGAGTACGACGCTGATGGGAAATGCTTGGCCACGGTTTTGATTCTCCAGGATGATGACGGCGATTGTGGCAGTCGGTTGTTCCCCGTTGTATTCGAAGGCAATTTGGCTCAGTTGGCCTGGCGCCTTAAGGAGAATGATCGTGTTGATACTTCGCTGAGAATGGGTCCCACAAGGTTCGTCTTGGATTTGTGGAGGAATCTTTTGAAAAGCCCAAACAGTGGTGGGATTATCGTGGTCACAAGTCTAATGGGCTAGTAAAAGAAAGACACCCCGACTTTTCAAGCACAAGGATTCTGGAAATGGGCTTTGGGTTGACAGTGCTCCCTACTGGGTTTTGCAGAGACTTGCCAAATTAGAGTTTGAGTTGTTGGAGTATCACTTGTGAGTTGTCCCACATTGAATCTATAGGGAAAATGAGTCTAGTATATAAGCCTAGTGGGCTACTCCTCCCATCACCAATTGGTTTTGGGATGGA